CCTGGTGAACCCCAATAAAAGACCTGCAAAACCACTGAGAACTCTGACTCCTCCTTTACCCGGTCTGCATGGGATCAGAGAACCTGCACCTGTGCCCAGTCCGGCCCTTACAGACTGGAAGGAAAAGCCTTTCTGTATAAAAGAATGGCAGCTAATAAAGAAATTTTTTTTTGTTACCAGAAAACAGAAAAACATTATTTTGTTGCTACCAATGTAATAACCATAAGGGATCAGCTGATCTTAACTTTCAGGTGAAAACTTAATGGGAAACAGAACATTCGTGAAGTCTCAAAGGATTGCTCAACAGATAATTCCTGAAAGGAAAGATAACTTCACTGGGAGAAGTCTAGCCCAAACCGCCTTCCCCAAGGGCTCACATTTACATGGGCTTCCTGATATGCTGCTCTGAGTTCAAGCCATCTACGCAATACTGATGCCCAAAATGTTTAACCTGGATCAAAGTATGTGGAAATAATCAGACAAATCAAAATTGCGGGCATTCTATGAAACAACTGGCCTTGACTCCTAAAAGTATTAATGCCATAAAAGACAGAATAGTTGTAGATTAAAGGAGATAATATATGATTGGATCCTAATTTTTTTTTTTTGGTAGAAGAACTGGGGTATAGGCCAGAGCTGGGGGGGTGGGGATGTGAGAGGATTCACCAGAGACGGGGGAAGCAGAACAGGTGGATCTACTGAAATATACTGCTAAGGGGAACAGTGGGCAAGACAGAGGTCTGCTGCACCATATGTAGGTTAGCTCCTTGGCCAGGGATCAAATTCAGGCCTAGTGATGATAGCACTTAGTGATGATCCACTGGGGAGGCCCTGGATCCTAAATTTTTTAATGCTAAATAAGTTATTATTAGGAAAACTAGATAAAAGTGAATAAAAAGTTGTATTAAGTTATTGCAGTTCCAATTCTCTGAGTGATGTGACAGTACACATTTTTATATACATACACAAAACTCAAGCACTCAAGTTAAAGAACTTTTCTTAATATTAAAAGAATTGCATAGTATATAGGCAGGAGCTTAGAAAGGAAACCCTGAAGAATATTTGGCTGAAGGATAATGCTGTAATCACTCCTATACTTTCTTACTAACAACTAAAATGACAGCAATTTTTTTCCAGATACTATAAAAAACTCCTTTTTACTTGAATTCTTCATATTGTTTTTTAAATGGAGACAGGGATATTTCTATATCACTTTTGTACTGGTACAGTGTGGATCCCTTTTCTTTGATTTTCTGATTTTGAGCTGAATATTTTATGCATTATGATGTATGTAAAAGTCCTTTCTCTATTTTTAAGACATGATGTTTGCACCAAAAGACTTACAGACATAAAAGAACTATTTTTGATTTGTAAAGAATTTCTCACATTTTCTGAAATCAAGCAAAATGAAGATTTTCCTATACTACTAGCAGAAATGCTTAGATGTTTTGAATCAAAGTTTCTAACCTATTTATTATTACCCAAATTCTAAAAATAAAAGCGGAAAAGCTACTATTGGATCCAGAAATAGTTGTAATAAAATGGTACTTCATTTCATTTTTTGCTTATATATCATATTTATTGAAAAATCAACACCAGGTAGGGGCCTCCCCGGTGGCACAGCGGTTGAGCGCTGGGTTGCGAAGCTGCCCGCGGCCTCTGCGGCGCCGGTTCGATCCCCGGCTGCTCCCCGGCCACCGGAGGAGGGTCCCACATGGCGCGCAGACCTCTCCTGCCGCCCGCTGCTCCCCTCAGCGGTGTACTTCGGTCCTTCTGCCTGCTCTGCTCCCCGCTCTGGCCCTGGTGAATTCTCTCACCCTCCCGCGCTTCTGACTGTACCCAGTGCATGTAAAAACAAAACAAACAAACAAATAAAATAAATAAATAAAACATGCCTCTATAAAAAAAATAAATAAATAAATAAAAAAAAAAATCAACACCAGGTAATTTTTCTTAAAATGTTTTCTACAGAATTTTCTGGATATTATTGACAGGTATAACATAGTCATGATTAAATGTTCCAGTTTATCCTGGTGTCTATAAACACAGGAACAGGGAAGAGGCAAGATGTATTTTTTTTTCCAATATACACTACATAACACACCAAGAGCTAAGGTAATAAAAACTGTCTTGTACAATACTTTATAATCTACGGTACCTTCACACAAGGTTATCTAGTTTTTTCTATTGACAACAGGCAAAAAATAGACAAATTCAAACTTACATAGTAGAGGAAAAGAAAATCATCTGGTATGGGATTTCCACCTATATGATAAGAAAATGCATAAATCTAAAGAAGCATGAGAACTATCTTAGGCATAATAGGCATAAAATCCTTTTCTCAAACAATTTTTGTGACAAGTAAATAAAATCTGAAATCAAGACCCTAGGCTGGTAACTATTAACCAGCTGATAAATTGTAAAATGTTTTATCTCGAGAGTATCAGGTCCAGCAGAGTCCAGGGCTCAGTTATCAATACCAGTAGCGCGACAGTCAGCTGATATAAGATGTGTAATATTACTGCACTTGGACGGTAACAATGCTCAATTTCTAATGTTAAGAAAGAGTAAGTTTAATGAAATGGACTTGATTTTGGCCTGAAGTTCTCTAAGCACACTCCAATTTAGAGTAAGTTCTCTTTTAAGGGTTTTAATCTACTAGATGTGTTCTTTGGAACTTGTGAATATACTTTTCCATGAGAATAAAAATGTAAATAATTGTTTCAGGGCAGAGAGAGAAATTCCCTGATCCCATCTGGGATCTTCTGAGATTGAGCTGGACCAACAAACAACTTAATGTCAGACAGTTAATTAGGAGAAAAAGCCAAAATTTAGTAACATATGGATGGAGAATTTACATGGCTATAGGTAGTGTGTTTAAGGACCTGCAACATCAGGGAGAGCAGGAGGTTTCACATGACTTGCTAGGGGGAGTCAAGATGAGATTCTCAGACAAGATAGGTTTACAGATAAACCTATATTTGGATGACATCCCCAAACTCCATTCTTCTAGGTCATAAAAAGAAGGAGCAGTGATCGCCATGTTAAGAAAAAGGCAAAGGACTGAGACAAGGACAAAGATTCTCTTAGTCCAGGACTTCAATGCTCTAAATTTAAAATAATCTGCATTCTTTATGCATTGGTAATAGACATTCCCAGACTTGCAGGTTCCTGATTGACTTTTCATTCCTATATTAAAGAGACACTGATTGCAAGAGGCTTACTATGGACTATTAAAGAAAGCCTATCTGACCCTTTCAGGGAAAAATGACCCCACAATTTAAAACCTATCTGACCCCTTCAAGGAGACCAAACCTCACAAGTTAGATTATCAAACTACGTCACAAACACCTATTTAATTCACAATACTGGCAAAATAAAGACCATTTAGATCTTCTAAAAAGTCAATATTTTCTGCATTCCTGATTCAAGGTTGCTGAATTGTTGGCCAACATAAGGCACTGGGCTGACTTGATGCATCAAAATGTGAAATCACCCAAACTGTTTGGCTTGCAATGCTGCTTACATAAGTGAATGCTATACAAAAGTGAGAACTTCATCCTCATCAATAATATATTATGATAGAGAGAACACAGTGAGTAAAAATATAGCGCTTAGGAAGACAAGAATGTGTTTAAATCCCATTTGGGACATTGGAAAATTAGTTTCTGAATATTTACTTAGTTCAGTTCAGATATTTCTTGGAGATCTACTCAATGCCAAGCATTCTACTTAAGTGTTTGTAGAAATTGCTCTCTACTCTGGCTTCTCAAAGAATAATCTGCAGAGCTTTAAAAAATACAAAATCCAGACACTACCTACAGAATCAAATCACCAGAGAAAGGAGCTCAAACAAAGAAGTATGGAAGCATGTGAGAGGGCAAGTTAAAGTTGAGCAGTAATTTGGGAAATGAGAATTTAAATACATTAATTTAGGGGGAAATAAACAATTTGTCTATGTGTGTATGTATATGTATGTACACACACATATACACCCCCCACACTCACACAAAGTAACTAATTATGTATCTGTTAGAATGGCCAAAATTGAAAACACTGACAGCACCAAGTGCTGGTAAGGATGTAGAAAAATCTCTCATTTAATGTTAGGAACTCAAAACGGTACAACTTTGGAAGACCATGGGCAGTTTCTTTACAAAATTAAATATACTCTACAATACATTCTAGCAATTACACTTCTTGATATTTACTCAAATGAGCTGAAAATTTACATCCACACAAAAATCTGTACACAGATGTTTATAACAGCTTTATTCATAGGTACCAAAAGTTATAAATGATCAAGATGTCCTTCAGTGGGGAAATGGATAAACTGAGACATAATCACACAATGAACAATTAATTACTCATCATTAAAAAGCCATGAAAAGACATGGAAGAACCTTAAAAACATACCACTGACACTGAGTGAAAGGAGCAACCTAAAAAGGCTACGTGACTAAATAATATTCTGGAAAACATAAAACTATGGAAGCAGTAAAAAGTTCAGTAGTGGCCAGTGGCTGAGGGTAGAAGGAATAGGTGAAGCATAGAGGTATGTTAGGGCCATGAGTAAACTCTAGTGTAAACTATGGACTTTGAGCAATGACATATCAATGTAGGTTCACTGAATATACCACTGTTACCAGATGCTGACAGCAGCAGAAACTATGGAGGAGGGTGGCTGAGGGGACAGAAGACATATGAGAAACTGTATTTCCTGCTCAAGTTATTGTGAACCTTAAAACTGCCAATAAAGTATATTTTACAAAGAAACCTAATGCACACTATAAAAGCAATGTCTATAAAATCTCAATGGGATCACTGATGCACTGTGATTATCCCCACATCCAGTTAGCACTTACTCAATTAACCAATAGGCCCCTACACTTTCTGATGTTAAAGCCTTAGAACATACATTCATTTAGACTGAAGAACCTCCTCCCTACAATCCACTCTCCACTAGCCAAAATTCTAAGTTCTAACACCCTCAGAGACAGCTCAGCATGTAACTGAGTTCACGAAGCCTTCTCTGATCCCTCCTCTTAATTGTGGGTTCCTTTTGCTACCTCTTTGTTTATGTAATATCATTCTGTATGGCTTATGATACTGAAACAAAACTTTAAATATAACCTGTAAGTAGAGATTTCATTACTAGTCTTGAAAAAACTGACATGACACTGTTACCAGGTGGGAAAGGGAGTGGGTAGCAAGGAGTACATTACAGATCCCGCTTCTATGGCCTCCCAACACCGAGGCAGTTGTCATCTAGAACACTGCTGTCATTTATCACTGTCCCCTGCATTGTTTTTCTTACTTCCTGTCACTTCACTCAAGGTGCCTGCCTGGCTCCAGTTTCCATTTGAGTTTGTAACCCCTATTTACTTCGTTCTCAGACCTACTAAACTGTTTCTTAAAAGCAAGGACTTATTTCTCTTTTCTCTCTCCCGTCTGACTAGAGTATATTTTCATCAACTATTTTCTGAATTTATTATTAGTCACAAAATAGGAAAAATCATACACTTAATTCATCGTGAATGTTGCTACTTAAGCTTAAGCAGACAGGAGCACTGCCTCTTTACTATGGTTAAATTGACTTTAAAACCTTGTAATAACCTTTTTATACCTATGTTACAAGTAGCCTTTGTATGAGTGCTGGAAGAGCGAAAGACTGAACAGGAATGAAGAGATCATGCGTTGAGTATCTACTATGTGCCAAGCATTGTACTATTATTAAGGGATGGGCAAAACCAAAGGGTATCCCCTTCTAGACAACAAAGAGGAGGTAGCTGGGAAGAAATCTGTGTTGCACTAATAGGGCAGCAAATGGGATTCCCGAAGAAATAGGAAGAGTACAGAGTTGTCAGCTCAGAGTGGTAACTGCACAAATTTTGTAAGACTCTTAATAGCCTTCTTAGAAGTGATGAACAGATGCCTGGTGAGGAGTCCAGAGAAGGGCTCATAACTAACCCATCCCCATGCAGGGCCTGTTCTTTTTATTTAAAGAGTCCATTCAATTACATCTGCCTTTAATTCTCACTAGATACCTAGTACTGTCCTATTTTCTTAGAGGAAAGTAGATCATAAAGGAATGTGTCATATAAACCTGCTATCAAAACAGAACAAGGAAAATTTGAAATCACAAAGTTTTCATTTAAGAGTGTAATCAGCTTTAACTAAAGAAAAACAAAGCAAATAATTTAGTCTAAAGACACTGTTGCTTGAGAAGCTGAACTGTAAAATCTTTTTTTCCTAATTATATGTTTTCATTCATATAGTTGTAGATAAATATATAATTGAAAGATATAATAAAGATATTTTGTACTATTTATCCAGTCATAATATCTTGCTAAACTAGTGTAGTATCACAACCAGATATTGATGTTGATACAGTTGAGATACAAAACACTTCCATCACCACAAAAATCCCTCATGTTGCTATTTTATAGACATACCCAATTTCCTACTACCCTCTTCCCCCTCTCTTTAATCCCAACCATTAAATATGTTTCCCATTTTTATAATTTTGTCATTTCAATGAATGTTATATAAGTGAATGATACAATAATTTGTAACCTGTGAGAATGACTGTTTTAACTCAGGATAATGCCCTGCAGAATCAGCCTGTTGCAAAACCTTGTAATTGTTGCAGATCATGAAACCGAATTACAACTTAGTAGGAAAGGACATCAGGCTTGCTCATGACTCATACTAAAGCCAAAGGCATAAAAAAAGAATTAAACTCTACTGAGTTCTGTTCTCCCAAAGCATTCTGTTAAGTGTTTTCCTACCACTGTAATAGACATTCTTCTTGTCAAATTATTTCAGCACCAAAACTTTTACACACTGAATTACAAACCTTTATGCTTGTGTGGCTACAGAGGTTTGTGAAACCTGTCTCAGAAAAATAAGTCTGGTTAAATGAGGAAGTTCAAAACTCCTTTATTAGTATTCATTTCAGATGGACATAAATTTACAATGAACTTTCTGAGTTTTCCCACTTGGAAATAAGTCTTTGCTCACTCACACTACAAAACAACAGCAGCAGCAACAACAACCTCACTACAATTGCTGTTGTCTGAAATGGTTGCCCTTATGTTGAGTTTAACCATTGCAGAAAAGAAACATGCATCTGTGAGCTCTACAATCTTAAACATCTAAAAGCTTAAAACCTTTTAAGCTTAAAATCTTAAAAACAAACAAGGTTATTTATTCTTAAATTGTTTCCTTCAATACATTTTGGATTTCATTCATAAACAAACCTATTATCTGCTAAACTTGGCAACAGAATCTCATCACTGAAGGATAGTTTGAAAAGGGAAAGTGACATCCTGACCACATACCTGAGTTTCTATTTCTTACCATTTTCAAAAACAGAATCCAAATAGGCTCATCTACAATAGCAAGCCCTTAACACAAAGATCAAGCTTCAAATGAGTCTGCAACCTACTGGCGTGTGTATAAAACACAGGCCTAAAAAAATTCACCCATCTTTTTTACCAGATCCACAATACTCTGTGTCAATAATAGAGTTTGTTAAGCAAATCAAAATTAATTAGTCACCAGACATTTCTAAATGAAGCAAATACTCTGGTCAAAGTTTCTAGCTTGGATATGAAGAGAAAGAAACCCTACAAGGCAGTTCTTTCAAATATTCACAGGGGTTAATAAACTATGAATAAAAGTAACACGGTATTATTTAAACATTTAAGTGATTACTTGTCCAGTTTTTTTAAAAAAAAAGCACAGAACTTCAATATTTTCAATAACCTTCACACACACACACACACCCACCCCTTTTAGGGCTGGCTGACTTCCCTTATCACTTATCACTTGAACCTTGAACCTCCTTTTCCTTCCTGGAAAGGGTAACTAAACCTATAGTAGTGATTCCACTGAGACACAGGTTAGCCCGGATAACATTCCATACTCCAAAAGGTATTACCTCACTGACACAAGTTTGTGTGGAGAGTTCACATGAGAAAAGTTCTAGAGGATAGGCACCCATTTCTCATTCACCTTTGCATGCCCCGGTGCTAGAGTCTGCAAAAGGTGCCACACAAAGTGGCCACCAAACAAGAAATGCCAAGTGTTATGAAAACAGTATGTATTGAGGGAGAGAGCTACAGAATTCCAGAAAACTGGCCAAATTTCTAACTTCTAGACATACCGAAAAAGGGGGAGAATGTATAACTTAGTGGCATTATGTGTCCCAATGCATTATGCAGGTCCTTCAAAGAACCGCTCTATGGTTGAATTTTCTCCTAAGAACAATGAAGATAGTATAGCATCCAACTCATCGGGGTTTGAAAGAATATAAGAAGTTGGTATAAGTCAAGTCCTTAGATCAATGAGTGGAACACTAGGTAAGTGTTTGCTACTGATATACTACTCTAAAAAACTATTACAATAAAAGTGTCCGCAAGAGACTAAAATCTTCAAAGAAATTAGCCTGAAAAGATAAAATCACAAGTGGCAAAGTTTTACTATCAAGGACGAGATACTACTGTAAATATTTCTCAGGCGATGAGGCAACATCCTCAACCCTTGAGGCAACTATTCTCCCTGTAAAGTTAATGGACATTTTTGTTTACATTTTAGTATGTAAGAATTTGTACGTGGGCCCAAACAAAAACAGAGTGGATTTGGATCCACCGCCCTATTTTGCCCTCCCCTATAAAAACACTAGAATAATACGAGTCAGTGCTCTTTAAAGGCAGCATAAGAAACGTTCATGAGCTGATTAAAGTTGACTGGAAAACTTGCAGCCCCTAAACTTGCAATATGCGGACAGATAGTTGCGGCGTGGTGGGGAATCCGGCCAGGACCGCAGCAGGGCCTGGCAAAGCAGCCAAGGACCCCGCACAGCTCTGGCCGACCCCCGCCACACTTACTCCCAGCAGCGGCCCGCGGCCGATCACCGTCTCCCCGGGCGCCAGGGCAACCCGGGGGCCGCCATCCTGCGACTGCAGCTCGAAGCCCCCCGACATGGCGGCGAGGATGGCCCCTGCGCAAGGAGACTGTCCCCGCAGCCGTTTCCGCTTTCCCCGGCCACGCGCGGAGCCTAAGCGGGGCCCCGGGAAAAACACAGGGGGAGAAACCCGCCAGAGTGCGCGGAGCAGCGCAGCCGGGTCCCCGGGCGCGTCCAGAGCCCCGCCTCTCCCCCACAGCCGTGACGCACTCGGGGATTCCCACGTCACGGAGCCTCAAAATCAATGATTAAAAGCCCAGGTTTCACCCATCCTCACCCTTTAGCACCACCCACCCAGTTTGAAGGACGCAGGACCTTAGGGTCCTTGGAACCTTCTTTTTCCTCCATTTCCGAGGTTAAAACACCCTAAAAAAACGCCAATCCCAGAAGGCCCTGCGCGCGGTGTTTACGCGAGCGCACACGTGCGGGTCAACAGGGCGGGGCCAGAGGTGGGCGGGGCTTGAGGGACGATGGGAAGGATAAGGTTGCCGCAGAATTTAAACTGCTGAAGGAGACGGCGCCGCGGCTCTACTGGTAAGAGGGTGTTCACTTGCCGCCCACCCCTGGCGGCCCCCAGCCCAATGGCTGCCCTCACTCAGCGGTCTTTAGCCGTGGTGACAGGTCAGGGCTGACAGTTGGCATTTGTGTTCATTTTTCAGTGCATCGTGTTCCTTGGGCTCGGGCAGCTGCAACCTGCGCGGGGCGCGCAAGATGGGCGGCTTAGATGGTACGTGGGGTCATTCTTACCGACTTGAAATATATCGACAGGTTTGGGTGTCCCTAAGAGCCGGGTGTGTCCCCAAGAGCCGGGTGTGTCCCCAAGAGCCGGGTGTGTCCCCAGGAGCCAAGTGGCGTCAGCCTCACCTTCTACGCTGTCTCGGTCCTTCCTCCTATAACTTCATTAAAGAGGCAGTTTTGCGGTTTGGTTTGTAAAGGAGAAGCGGAGTAATTTTCCAGGCGTCCAGGCAAAACGACTTCGAAGATGGTTAGTGGAAGGTGAGGAGCTTCCCCAAGACCCGCGACCTATAGTCGAATGTAAAGAAACTGAGTATGTTTACGCTTTGCCTTTAAGGTTACGTTTGAAGATAATTTACTATCAAGCTATAGCAAAAAAGCAGTAATTCAAGAGATTCCAACATAGAAATGCAGTCTTTGGATACTGAGCATGACAGTAGAGAGAGTCAAAATAATTATTTTGAATAACTGCCTCTGAAAGTTACAATCGTGGGTCTTGAAGAATGAATCATTCCCCTCCTTCATTCCTGTGATATAATTATGATGGGAGAAAGCATTTTATTCCCCAGTAAGAAGTAGCAAACAAATAAACAGTAACGTTCCGTTAGTACGGAAGTCTTTTCAAGAATAAAATGACTGGACTTTGGTTTGTTTTGATGAAGAGGGAGGAGGTGCATAGCAAAAACTTGCTCTTGATTCTTAATCTTGTTTTTATCAGTTTACTTTCTTACTTCCCCAAACCCTCAAGAGGAAGTCGTCTGTTGAACAGACATTAAAATTTTAACCACCGTATTTAGTTTGGATCATGAACAATCAAATGAATGGGAGTGACTGTGGTTTTGGCAAGTCCAGAAACATATAGGTGAGTAGTACACCTAAAAGGGGGAATTGTCATTAGCTGAGTTTAAAAGTATTTGTGTATCTCAAGTACCTCCCCCTGCATTGCCATACCTGAATATAAAAGGAAGTGCAAAATGGAGTAAACTGCTTTTAAGTACATATGAGCTGTCTTTATATGTAAAAATAGCTCTATGGTTTCCACTGATTTCCAAAGCCGGTCAGGTTAGGAAAATTCCCTGAAACTGGACTTTAAATCTTAAATCACCCTGCTATATCTAGCAGAATTATAAACATTGTTTATAATTGTTAGTCTTTATTGCTTGATGGCATCCGTGACTAATAGCCTTAGTTCATAATTAACTATGCATGTGGAATAGCGTCCATAGACCATAGAGGATTCTAACCAGATATCTTCTATAGAGGATTAGAATAGAATCCTCCAGAGAGGATTCTAACCAGATATCATCCTCTTGTCCATTTCAGGTAGTATTTGTGTGGAATGTGGGCACCCACCCATTAGTTACCAGTAGATAAACAATTCTTATGTAGAGTATTTTAAGTCCATTAGGCTGATGGTTAAGTTGCAAATTGTAAATGAAGACCTTAATGATAAGGCATCAGTTCCTATAGACAAATATTTAGGAGTTTAATAGAATTGAATCATACCTGTTTTCAAAGATAATCTCAATATTTTAAAATATGTTCAACATTTCTTAATAAAACTTGGAATCGAATGTTCTCACAATAGTCATCTCTACTAATTCAATAAATTATAGTGAAGACTCATTTTTAGATAGTGTTCTTTGAGGATGGAAAAACAAATATTTAGAAACCCATTTACTTACACTATTTTAAAAGAAGGAGGGTATTGAATATTTCCCATGTGCAGTGCAGATGTAAGGTTAGATAGTTCACATATTATCCCTTGGTCCTATGCACACTCAGGAAAGAAGCATGGTTAACTCCTTTTTATACATAGGAAGCTCAAGTACAGAAAGTTGAAGTTCTTCACATCATAGCCAGAAAGAATCTAGTTCAGCATAGGACCAATAGTCTGATCTAAAGAAACTGAGTTTGTTTAAACTTTGACTTTAAGGTTACATTTGAAGATAATCTACTAAACATCAAGCTATAGCAAAAAACAATAATTCAAGAGATTCCAACATAGAAATGAACTCTTCAGATCCTGAAAATAACAACAGAAAGAATCAAAATGACTATTTTATTCTCCTGCCTCGAGAAATTAAGAGGTACATTTTCAGTCTGCTGGACTTTCCGAGTTTGTGTTCAGCTTCAATGACATGCTGCAACTGGAATGAAATAATAAGCAGCACTGACTCCATATGGAAAGGACCTTACTTGACTTTACAATCTGTGTGCCCAGAAGTAAAGAAAGATGTAAAAAAGGGTTATTCCCTGAGGGTAAGTTTAATCTTCCCAGTCTGTAGTGTCTTTGACAATGCTATTGTAGTAGATTTGAACCAATTCTACCTTCTACTTGGAGGGCGTAGACTTAATAAACAGAGTACTAGTGTGTTGACTTTTGAACATGAGTCTAAGTTGAATTATTGTTCTTTTTCTGAGAACCACTATCTTCCACCTGTCCTTTGACATTTTTTAAATCCTAATTTCAGGCAGTTTTTTCCTGTCAATCAGAAGGAACGTGACTACAGCTCACTCCACCTTATCTAAAAACACCCCCCAGGAAATCTCTGACTCACTCTGCACACATAATCCATTTATTAGTATATGTGTATATTAAATACTTGATCTTCTTCTCGGCCCTGTCAATCAACTTCTCTAGTCTGAAACTCACTGACCAACCTCCTATATTCTTGAATGATGATGGTTTACCTCTTTCAGGAAACATTACGGAGGAATTACCAGAAGAGTAAAGCGAAACAGGAATGGCTAAGTGGCAAATTCAGCAACATAAGTTCTCCTGTTAACCTACCAGAAAAAATCATGTACCCGATGGATGCAGATACATGGGGGGACATTCTAGAAGCTGAACTGGAAAGAAAAACAGAAAAAGCACAGATTTTTATAACTTTGAGTGTTAAAAGCTATAATGACTCTTAGGTTGCAAAACATATATCTATATTTGTTCATTTTTTTATTCACTTTTAACAATATTTAACATTTAAATGAAAAGTAAATAGAAAATATCATCAAAGCAAAGCTTTGTTTTTATTTTGCACTTTAGTAAAAAATACTTTTCTGGTTTTCTAATGTGGAAAATCATGAAATGATATTTATTTGCTATACAGTACTACACTGTAGTATTTCATGTATTTGTGAATATTGCAGCACTTAAAGGGTAAGAGTTTGATTTTATGCTTAGTGAAAATTCAGAAATTCAGGAAACCATTTGAAGACACTGAACTAGAGATTCATCAAGTAATAGACATAACTAACTATAAATGAAATGACTAGCAATGTATTTATATAAATTTGTATTTCAGTAACTTTAAAATTTCCCTTTCAGTGGAATCAAATTGAATTGTCAAACACTGAAACAATTTTAAAATGTGTTAAACTAGTGGTTTAATGTAAAATTAATCTGACCAGAGGGCTAAAGCTTAACATTAAGATGCTCTTTACTCCCCTACAGACCTAGAATTGTTCTCAGGGTGCTGAAGTTTTCATAACACTGTCATCAGAACTGCCATACTACTACTATTATAAAACTGACTTTCTGACAGCCTTATAGCACTTTCTAGTATACTACTCATAGATAACCGAGACAAAGTACCTTCAGCTACTTTTTGTATTCTCCAAACTTAAAGATTATTTTAGAGAACCCTCAATATCTGATTTTGATGCAACTTATAGATTTCCAGATACCTTTAATTTAGCTTTTGGTCACTTTTTCTTAAAAGTAGATAATGTGGTACTCATTATACCAAATTGTTCATTCTGAATCTCTGGTCAGCACCATAGTAAAGTTCCCTCAAAACGTTTAATTAGTATGGGATTTTATTCTTAAATTGATCTGTGTAGCACAAAAGATTGTATTTAACAATCACAAAATAACAGAAAGATGTCCCACTCTATAGAAATTCCCTTTGTTCGATCTAGCAGCCGCTAGTTGATTGGCTCCTACTGTCCTAAAGTTGGAAAGGACTTTAAGTTCAAGCAGTCCAGGTATGTTCTATAGGTATGTTATCCCTCTCACCCACCATTCTTTTCTTAGCAAACTCTTTTTTTGTTGTTATTTTTAATTTTTATTTTTTGGCAAACTCTTTTGTAAAGCTCACTATCTTGACCTGAAACCATCCCTAATTCTACCATTTTTGATAAGTGACCCTCATAAGTTTCTCATAGTTCTTTGTACATGCCACTTTCAAAGCTGTCATGCTACATTCAGTTGTCTCTTATTTATCTCCCCCTTTAGACTGTGAGCTGCTTAATAGCAGGGCCATTTATTTATTTTTGTGTTCTCCAAACCCATAAAGATTTGTTAAATTATTTCTGTAGTATTTATTTTAATCTTACCCAGAATGTATATTAAAAATGGATTTCTGTATTTTCTTGTCAGTGGACAAGGTTATATCAAAGTGCAATATGTAACCCATAATACTAAATATCAGATACTTAATATTAAAGCTAATAAATGAAGAAAATAGGAAAGTAGAAATGTTTTATTGTTTGCATAAACACTTGAAAATAAACTTAAGTGAAAACTGTCACTTGTTCTTTTTAATTATTGGGTCACCCAAATCAATTTTAAATATTACTTTTGTAAGTTATATTAATAATCATTGGTGCTTTATTTTACTACTGTTGTATTAAAATAAGTCTCATATCATAAGTTATTAGCTATGATCATAGTCTGCATCAAAAGGAAAGTTTTGGAACTTAATGATAAACTCATTAAGTTCCAGGACTGGCTCAGAATGAACTGTACATTTATCAGAACCAACCACTAGCATCTGAGAACATAAATGGGTAGAGTTAAATGCAAGGAAGGAGGGCTCTTACGCATAGATAAAATAGCATATTACTATACACAATTTTTGAAAGTAGAGAGATATTAGACTAGAGTATTAAAGAACTTCCAATATTATAAAATATCAGTTCAAGACCTAGTATATTTTTTAAAGATTTATTTATTTAGAAAAGAACCGGGGTACAGGCCAGATGCGCAGGAGGGTGAGAGGATTCACCAGAGACAGAGTGGGGAACAGAATAGGCACACTGACTAAATACACTGCTGAGGGGAGCAGCAGACTAGACAGGAGAGGTCTGCAGCACCCTTAAGGATTTTCCCGGCTGATGGGGATTGAACTCACGCTACAGAGGTGGCGGACAGCTTCACAGTACGGCGCTCAACCTCCTGCGCCACCAGGGAGGCCCAAGACCTAGTATTTTTAAAATAAATTTAGAAACTTCTTTAGTTGTAACCAAGTTTTTAGGAAATAACTCAATAAAATCTACATGAATATAAAAACTTTAGACATTAGAGTACACACACACACACACACACACACACACACAGAATTTGAAAAAACAACATTCTCCTAACCACTTTAATTTCATCTTTGCTTTGACTTTATATATAATCTTTTTAAAATTTCAAATGCCCTTCACAAAATCAACAAAAATAACAATAGTAACATCAGTAAATAGATTGGGAAGAATAATGCATTAGATAAAGATCATACATTTTTCTTTAGAGTTGAAACCCATAACGATCAAATGAATGAAATTAGATAAACAACGAGCAAAGTTTGGTTATAATAGCCAGCACTTTCTGAATGCCTATTCTGCACCAAGCAATGTATTCGGGCAGGTGCTATCTACACATTATTCATGAGGAAGCTGAAATTTAGAGAATAATCTTACCTATCTCTGTCTATAAAAGTATATAATACATAGTGGATGCTCAATAAATTTTTATTCAAAATTTATGATAAATGAAAGAGAATGTTTCTCCAACTTTTTATTTTGAACATTTCAAATTTACAAAAAAGTTATGATACATAACAAAAAACTCTTATGTATACCCTAGTAATAACAATTGTTAATATTGCCACATTTATATAGTAGTTATTTTGCTGAAACATTTAAGAACCAGTTGCAGATATGATACTTCACCCTAAAATACTTCAGCATGTGTCTCCTAAAAATAAATACTCTCCCCTATATACAATATCATCATCACATCTAAAATTTTCATATGCATTCAGTAAAATCCAATTTGCAATTAATATTTAAATATCCCCAATGGCCCCAAAAAATCCTTTCTAGATTTTTTTTCTAATTAGGGTCCACAAGATTTACATATACATATTACTTTTATGTCCTCTTAATCTCTTTTAATCATAAATGTTGCCCTGCCTTTGGTTTTTCTTTTAAAGGCTTCAAGCTGGTTATCTTACAGGATCATCTGTAATTAATGTCTGATTGTCTCATCATAATTTGAATGAGGTGAAACTTAGCTGATGTAATATGCTAACTTTTGCCTCATATTGAGAAGCACACAATGATTGTTCTATGTGGTGTTAATAACCAAAATCTCTCCATTTAATGGGATATTTTTCTATTAAGTTTTGTTTTTTTCAACAGCTTATTTCTAAAGTATTCTCCTATAGCCAACCCTATGCTAAATGCTTCATAAACATTATTCATCTTCATAATTAATTAGGTTTTCAAAGAACACCAGAAACCATCTCCAAATTCTTTTCTGGACAACCTAAAAATTATAAAACCAAGATATAAAGTCACAATTTAAGCCCAGTTTTCTCTGACTTCAGAGACTAATCTTTTAACCAATAGCTTCTAGTGACTTTTTTTATCTTGACACTTAGTTCTTACCTTTAGCCAATGTGAATGGCTAAGACTAACAAAGGACACCTCCCATCACGAATACCTAGAAAAATCAGGGGGAAATTAATACTAAATATGTAGAAATTACACTTCTGCTAATGGCAGAACAGCTCATTCTAACAAAACTTCTTACTTAGGACAACTTGAAAACCTGGGGGGAAACATTAATCTAATTGAAGTCATCAGAGATCTACAATATAGTAAAGAAATATTGGGCCAATTTCTTGGAAAATAAAAACTAAGGAGGTAAGTCCAGGGTTGAAGTTAATCTTTCCATGGGGGCTTGGCAATTCTTGCAGGAGCAGCTGAAAAACTAAGCAGATTTTGAAAGTCTCTCAAGACTATGAGGACAGTTACTAGAGAAAAGAAACTAGTAACACATTTACTTAATAAATAGTTTGAGTCTAAACGCTAAATAGTTTGAGGACTACACGCTAAAAATGGGAGTAATCTAGTTTTTAGGTCATCACAAGAAAACCATGCACCATCAAAACATCTCAATCTCTGAAAATGGAATGAGATAATAGTAATGTCCTAAACACCTGGCAGAAGCAGAAAAAAAAAGTCCTTCTTGAAGAAAGCTATTGCCATTTTAGGCTTTACATTATCTTTACAGACATTTTTAAAATTCAATGTCAGATGTGCACACACAGAGACACATACATAAATAAGAAGACACAGTAGGGCCTCCCTGGTGGCACAAGGGGTTAAGGCACAACCTATGAAGCTCCCAGCAGCCACTGCAGCAGGAGTTCGATCCGGCCAGGGAGGTGACCCACATGGCGCAGCAGACCTCTCCTGACTCGCCCACTGCTCCCCTCAGCAGTTTATTTCAATTAGTCTGCCTGTTCCGCTCCCTGCTCTGTCTCTGGTGAATCCTCTCACCAGCTCCCCCAACAACTCTGGCCTGTACCCCAGTTCTTGTATGTATAAATAAATAAAGCTTTAAAAAATAAATAAGACACCGTAAGTTAATAATAATTAAAAAAAACAATAGAAAGGATACACAGTTGGAATTATCAGATGCCGTCTCCAAAATAACACAGCTTGAGGTAATCAGTGATAAAAAATTCATGCTGAGATTTTCAGCAGAATTGAAAATAATAAAAAAAAGCAAGTGAAAATTTTACAACTAAAAATTAAAATGACCTATTAAACAGCACATTAAATACAGATGAAGAGAGGGGGACGCATTAGTGAATCCAAAGAAGGATACAAAGAAAATACCAGAATGAAACAAGGGAAAGAAAAGTATGAAAAATAGAGATGAGAGGATGGTGGGGGGGAAATGATAACATGAAGGTTCAATATGTGTGTAATTATAGTGCAAAAAGACAAGGAAGGAAAGAATGAGACAGAAGCAACTTTGAAGTGGTAATAATGGTTAAGAATCTTCCAAAAGTGATGAAAGAACTCAAATCACAGATTCAAAAAGCATTGTAATCTGCAAACACAATCAAAAAACACTATACTCACTAAGCTATGTCAGAGTCAATAAGCTGAAAGGTAAAGACAAAAAAAAAAAAGATGAAAGCAGCCAGAGTGACTTCTTCTTGACAAGAACGATGGAATCCAAAAAGATCAAGGAATATTATTTTCAAAGAAACTTTCCAAAGAAGAAAACTGCCAACCTAGGATTTTGTGCTCAGAGAAAATACTTTTCAAGATGGAAGGTGAAGAAAAGACATACTAAGGAAAACAAAAACTGGGAACGTTCTTCTTGAACAGATTTGAAATAAAAATATTCAAAAGATAAACAGAATATGTCTTCAGATTTCATCTGTTTGGAGTATAGGAAAAAATAGAGAATTAAATAAAAAGTAAGTATGGAGACAAATCTCAAATATCAAGTATAAGACAATAACTTCATAGACTGTGGTATTTAACCTACATAGGGAATGTAAAATACAGGATACTGTTGGCATTAAGTTTGGAGGGAATAAATTCAAGGTTTGCATTGTTTGCGACTAGAATAAGAGCCAACTGATGTTATACACTGAAAAGTCAAGGATATGTGAAGTAATGTGTAGGTAAAGGAAAAGAAAATTGCAAGGAAGAATAGTAAAGGAATATATAACTACCAAGCCATATATAAGTACCGAATTAAAATGAAATAATAAAAATAATCAATGTAAGAAAGACAAAAAATGACAAAGAAACAATATAGAACAAGCAGAATATATAGAAAATATATAGTGGGATGGGAAATTTCAATCCAAATATATCTGTAGCAATATTTAAAATAAATAATAATGCTAAGTACACTAATCAAAAGTTAAAAACTTCAGACTGGAGCTTACAAGAAAAATTTATTTTATTTTTTTAGAGTTTATTTTTTTAAATGTTTATTTATTCATGTATACAAGAACTGGGCTACAGGCCAGAGGTGTGTGGGGGTGAGAGGATTCACCAGAGAGAGTGGGGAGCAGAACAGGCAGACTGTCTGAAATACACTGCTGAGGGGAGTAGTGGGCAAGTCAGGAGAGGTCTGCTGCACCATGTGGATTGCTCCCTGCCAACTCATGCTGCAGTGGCTGCGGATTGCTTCATAGGTTGTGTCTTAACCCCTTGCACCACCAGGGAGGCCCCCTAGAAAATTTTAAAGTAAAAAGATAGAAAACTATACCGCACAAATACTAGCCAAAGAAAAGTTGGTCTACGTAATATCAGACATATAAAACTTTTAGGTAAAATGCATTACTGGGTTGTTTTTTTTTTTAACTGTAAAGTGATAAAAGACAATTCATCATAAAGATTAAGATATTTTTTCCATTTGCATGAATATAACACAGGATGAAAATGTAGAAGTAAAAAATTAATTTAACTATAAGAAAAATAGTGGAATCCATAACC